GACCCGAATATTTATAAAGTCACATTACTGTAACTTCAGAAAGTGTGAATGAAAGGAGAGATATAGACCCATTTCCATCACTGAGCATTTTTACTTTTTTTTTTTGTATTCATATACTTATGTATTTATTGTCTCTTCTTACTAGAACATTCCTTATATTATATTAAGTGTTAAATGGTACAACCTGATTTAGTGAATTACTGAAAACAAAGGAGGGACTTCACATATAAACTTAGTGGTGGATACAAGAAGAGATGAAGCAACACAGCCCTGAAAAGTTGGAGGTAGAGAAGAGGATAAGAAAGAAGATGAAGATAAGAAGGAAAATAAATACAAATGGGAAGAGGAGGAGGAGGAGGAGGAGGAGAGTTTACCTTCTTGTCCAGGTTTTTAGCCTCAAACTCCAACTCAATGGCTCTCTTGTCCTTTATCTCCTCGGCTGTGATCTACACACACACACAAATATCATTCTGATGATCAGAGAACAGTGTACAGGAAGTCACAAATAAGAAACATATTTATCAGTTCAATCATTTGAACAAACACAGAGTACTTACAGTGATGCTTCCTTTGCCTGCAGGTTTGCCCTTCTTCAGCTGCAGAGGTCTGGTCAGACTCTTACTGGCAACTATCTGAAACACACAGAGGAGGAGAGACCTGTGTCAGTGACTACACAATATAAAAGCACCATGGAGAAATGCACCAAGTGAATGCAGTCCATACAATCCAGAGGCAGTGTTGTGATTACAGAGCTTGTCCAGCAGAGGACGCTGTGGACCTGAGAACATTTAGTAAATAAATGACGAGATGGCTGCTGTTTGGATTTTATGATGAAACAAAAATTATTTAAACTAGTTTGCAAATATATTTAAAATGGATTGTTTGTTTGTAAGTGATATAGGCCTTCTTCTTTTTTTGTACTATTCATTGACATTTTATAGACAGAATGTCTCATCTAGTAAAGACAATATTGTGCAGCGTAATCACTAATACAGCAATGACAAACAATTAGTTGTTACTCAAACATAAAAATGCAATCCGTTAAAAACTGTCGTAGATACATTTGGATTACATCATGGATACATCACCATGGAGAGGTTGAGAAGGTGTCACTTATTTACTTGTTTCAGTAGTTATTAAATATATAAACATTTTACTAGAAAACTTAAGAGGAAAAAAGGTTTAAGTAGAGACTGAATACAAAAATCAGTTGGATGTTTGTCAGATGTAAGATAAGAAATGTATTTAGCCTAATCCAATAAATAGCTGGTCTGATGGTTGCTGTCTTGAACATTGCTTCCAAACCGGCATAACCAACAAAAGTATATTCTGAAAGTGAATCAACAAAAAAGGCATCAGTACAGTCTGAAGAGCTGACACACTGGGATGAGCTTACCCATCTGTTTCCACTGAGTCAATGGAAAAGAGGTGTGTTTCTACTGAGTCCGGTGTTAGTTGTGTTGGTGCGTACCTGTCCTAGAGTTAGCTCCACCCCTCCCAGGTAGTCATCATCTCCGAGGTCCGAGCTGGAGTTGTCGATATCGTACACCCCCAGCTTCAGATTCTGCACTTTCTCAAAGTGATAATCCAGTTTGAGGCGCTGACTGAAGGCCGGACTCGACGTGTTATTCAAACGCTCTGTGCGAGCCAGCTGCAGAGGAGACAGACCGAGACAGGGATTCATTTATAGAAAGAAAATAAAGACACGTGTCCTGTATTGTGATCTTAACAGTTTTATCTCAAAGGCCATAAGGATGTTGAACTCCTGAGTCATCATTTATATTAGTTTATAGCACATACTGTATTTATTGCATTATACTTAAGCAATAGCTCACGACAGGCCGTGGTATATGCTCATTATATCACAGCTAAGGGGCCTGGTTCGGCCAAGTGTGGCAATATGAAAGAAAAATACACACTAATTTAAATAGTTTTTATTAGTAAATAATGATTTTCAAAATAAAATAGTCCCTCCGTTGCCTTCTGCACGAAACATAGTGCAAGGTGGTTGCTATGCAACAACACTAACAGCAAGCGAACATATTAGACAGAGAGCGTTGATCCATTATTTGGCTCTTTATTTACATTAATGTGTATGTTGCTGTTTATTGTGCAGCCACTGAAAAACTGTCCAGCATCAGTAGCATGGCTTACGTGGTCACTTGTATAGGTTGAGGTTGTTCGAGGCTGTTGCTTGGCGTGGCGAGAATATTGCTCCACTTTCTCCGGTCCCCGAGATTGGGCTTCCAGTAGCTCTGGAGAGAGCTTTCGCACCTGTGGCCACTAACGGTCATAATTTCTCTGCTTTGTTTCAAGACCCGCATCAGAAAGCTTTTGAATGGTGCTATTTTTCCAGTTGGTCTCACCTGCTCTTCACGTAGCTCTGCATGCCGTAGTTTAGGTGCTTTCTGGAGATAGGCACTGCTCAATCCACTCCTCCATAGCTATAGAAGACCCCGGAGCTTTGTTAGTTAGTTAGTTTCGTAACGGACGTAATGTAACAGTTGTAACGTTGTAGCTTTTTCTCAGACGCGGAGGGATACTGACTTGTGAAAAAACTACAATTCTACCCGTGATATACGCTCATTATATCACGGCTGAGAACCAATCAGACTGCTTGATTTGACTTGTCCGTTTTATAAAATAATAATGCATCACAAATGAAGGCATGTTTTTGCAGAAGGACTTCTTTTACTTTTGATTCCTTATCTACATTTAGTTGATTCTGTACTTTTATGTAATTCTTAAACATAGGACTTGAAGGAGTATTTTGACACTAATGAATTGCTACTTCTTCCATCTCTAATTAAAGGACCTTATCCACGCTGGATCTTTCCCAGCCTGTTATGTTTTCACAGAGCTCATCACAGCGTCTCCTCTCTTACTCTTTTAAGCATCAGCGTCATTCATTGTTTTTTACTTGGTCTGTTGAGGATGCTGTTGATGGTTTTCCCGGCCTGAATGGAGTATTCAAAACTTAAATCCTCTCGAGTGTTTCTCAGTGTTAAAAACGATGTGTTCATTAGCCTCTGAAGAGCCCCTCTCTCATGTTGACTACTGATGAGGCACTTGGAATGGAGAAATATGAAGGAGTCGTTCATGATCACATTGAAGAGGAGGCCCCTCTCCAACATCGCCCTCCTAATATACTCCATTTAGTTATACTCTCACTTGTCTAGCAGCTGTTTGCATTAAATCTGAATACAGAGATACTTCTGAGATCCTGCCTCAGATAGCAAAGGAATCGTCTCTGAGACTTGCAGATGTGGTTTTCCGGATGCATATTGATGTTTGTTGTTGTTGTTGATTGATCACCTGCCTGCCTGTTTGTGCTGCTCTGTATTTTGTCTCATATTTCAATCGATGCTGAGCTTCTGTCTCTCGTTTCACCACAGCTAACGGTCTCTCACCTCCACACACACCGAGTTCTCTCATCTTACTTTGACTTTTAGATTAATTAAAGCTGGAAAATATTCATATTGTAAGAGATATTTTAATCAAGTAAAAGTAGCAATGCTAAATTGTAGAAAAACTCCTGCATTCAAAATGTCAAAAATCAGCATCAAAATAAATACTTAAAGTATGCCTCATGCATAATGCCCTATTTCACAATCCTATATATTGAACTGATGATAATTATGATTATTGATGCATTAATGTGTGCATCACAGCTGGTATTCTGAATCTGTAAAGTAACTAATGTTGTCGTCGAGTAAAAGAAGAAGTTATCTTCCAAAATGTATTGAAAAGGCGATAATATAAAGTAGCATGAATTGAAAATACTGAGGTAGTACGAGTATGCAAAAAGAGGTAATGTACTACGTAGATTATATCGCTTAAAAGAGGTTAGATGTCGTGTTATTTTGGATATCGTTATATGGTAATATGGCATAATAAATGCCCAATTACAGTAAAGGGATAATTTCCTCAACTTTCCAGACTGATTTGTTATTTGCCTTTACCCACTAAGTCATTATATCCAGATTACTTCTGATTATTTATCAACAATCTAATTATTTGGTTATTATGTGTAATTAAAAATATGCCATGACTGCAGAACTCTATAGTACACCCAACACTATCACCCCATATCCAAACATTGATTTTCTCCATAGCTTAGCTGTGGTGGTGACGTGAAGTCATGTGACCGTGCTGTAGTTCCTTTATAGCCCAACATTAGCCTCCTTTAGCTTAGCGGTGGTGACGTGAAGTCATGTGACCATGCTGTAGTTCCTTTATAGCCCAACATTAGCCTCCTTTAGCTTAGCGGTGGTGACGTGAAGTCATGTGACCGTGCTGTAGTTCCTTTATAGCCCAACATTAGCCTCCTTTAGCTTAGCGGTGGTGATGTGAAGTCATGTGACCGTGCTGTAGTTCCTTTATAGCCCAACATTAGCCACCTTTAGCTTAGCGGTGGTGACGTGAAGTCATGTGACCGTGCTGTAGTTCCTTTATAGCCCAACATTAGCCACCTTTAGCTTAGCGGTGGTGACGTGAAGTCATGTGACCGTGCTGTAGTTCCTTTATAGCCCAACATTAGCCACCTTTAGCTTAGCGGTGGTGACGTGAAGTCATGTGACCGTGCTGTAGTTCCTTTATAGCCCAACATTAGCCGCCTTTAGCTTAGCGGTGGTGACGTGAAGTCATGTGACCGTGCTGTAGTTCCTTTATAGCCCAACATTAGGTTACTTTAGCTTAGAGCGGGTGAGGGGGTGACGTGAAGTCATGTGAGCCAGTGTCTGTAGATAGTTCCCTTTATAAGCCCAATATGAGCCGCGCTTTAGCTTAGCGTGGTGACGTGAGAGGTCCATGTGTACCATGCTGTAGTTCCTTTACTAGCCCAACAATTAGCCCTCCTTTAGCTTTAGCGGGGTGGTGGACGTGAAGTCATGTGACCCTGCTGTAGGTTCCCTTTATAGCCCAACATTAGCCGTCCTTTCAAGCTAGTCGGTGGTGACGTGAAGGTCATCGCTGAACCGTGCAATGTAGGTCCTTTATAGCGCCGAGACATTAGCCTCCTGTAGCTAGCAGGGAGATGGACTGAAGTCAATCTGACCGTGCTGTAGGATCCTTTATAGCCCAACATTAGCTCCTTTAGCTTGAGCGCTGGTGACGTGAAGTCATGTGATCCGTGCTGTAGGTCCTTTATAGCCCAACATTAGCCTCCTTTAGCTTAGCGGTGGTGACGTCGAAGTCATGTGACCGTGCGGTAGTTGCCTTAATAATAGCCCAACATTAGCCTCCTTTACGCTAGCGGAATGGTGACCGTCGAAGTCATCTGACCGTGCTGTAGGTCCGTTTATAACACCAACATTAGCCTTCCTTTAAGCTTAGCGGTGGTGACGTGAAGTCCAATGTGACCGTGCTGTAGGATTCCCTTTATAGCCCAACATTACCTCCTTTAGCTTAGGCGTGGAGTGACTTGAGTCATGTGACCGTGCTGTAGGTCCTTTTAGAGCCCAACATTACCCTCCTATTCAGCTTTAGCGGTAGTGGTGACTGAAGTCATGGTGACCGTGCTGTTAGGTTCCCTTCAGGTGAGCCCAACAGTGTAGCCCTCCCTCTTAGCTTAGCGGGTGGGTTGGGACTTGGAAGTTCCATGTGACCAGTGCCTGTTTAAGGATCCTTTTATAAGCACCCAACGATGTTAGCCTCCCCCCCTTTTCAAAAGCCTTTTAGCGGAATGGGTGGGGGGAGGCGTGAAGTGCAATGTGACCATAATAAGGGCGTCCCCTTTATAGCCCAACATTAAGCCTCCTTAGCTTAGCGGTGGGTTGGGGGGACGCCCGTGGCCAGAAAACACAAACATCTCCTGGGTACCAACAATGGTATAGTAATCATAGAGGACTACATTTTTAGAGACCTTCGACCTCAACCCCTCCCTTTAGTTTTCACTACTTCCTTGCTGGCTTCTGTCTTTTTTCCTGCAACACCGTCTTCTTTCCTTCTTTAGCCTAACTTCTACCGCTCCTCTTTTCGCCTCCTCTCTCCTCCCCTCCTCCTCTCCTACCCTGGAACAGCCCACACAACTCCCACCAGAGTTGGATGCAAGCCCTTCCTCCTCCCTGGCAAGCTGCACTGGCACCACACACTTTAGAATAGTCCAGAAAAAGAAGAGGCAGAATACCCTAGAAAAAACACATTCCACGGTTTTTCCAAGGTTCCCTTAGAAATGTGAGGGAATTTCCATGTTTTTTCTACGCACAAGTTTTTAGAGAAAACATGTCTTAAAAGAAATACTTCATTTTATAAATACTGAATTGTNAAGACCCCCCGGAGGTCGAAGTTAATCTTAAATGTTTCCATTTTATGCTTTGTAAGTTTGTTTCGTAACGGAAGAAATTTAAACATATTTATAAAACTGACAAGTCAAATCAAGCAATCTGATTGGTCGATAGCGTTTTTGCGGACCTCTTTGATTACAGATTTGAAAACATCGTTGCTTGCTTTAAAAGTAGCACAATTCATTATGTTAAACCTTCAAAAGTATCTAGATATCCCTGCCCTAATGCCAAAGGAACTGCACACTGAATATGTTTTGCCGTTTGATGTCTATGTCTGGACCGCTGCGTCAAAAAGGAGGGCTTCTGCCCAGCTTCTGCCCCGTTACTTCTCCGTTGCTTTCTTGTTCCAGTATGAAAAGCAAACTGCAGGCAGTTTGCTTTTCAGCCCAACGGTATACTGTTTTTCTCAGACGCGGAGGGATACTGACTTGTTGTGAAAAGTAACTTACAATTCTACCCGTGGTATACGCTCAGTATATCACGGCTAAGAACCAATCAGATTGCTTGATTTGACTTGTCCGTTTTATAAAGAGTTGTAATCTGCTGTACAGTAGTCAATTGTACATGTATAAGATTTACTTTGATGGTTTTATTATGTCCTTATTTGATTGTTATTTATTTTTATGTCTTGATTTTTCCATATGTTGTATTGTTGGAGGAGCCTGTGACTAAGCAGTAGCTGTTTTGCAGCTTTTCAATTCTTACCTCGGTCCATTTGTCTCCCCCTGTGCTCTGCAGCAGCACACACAAAGGATCAGACTTTGATCCGACATCTTTATCCAGCAGGTCAGTGCAGGAGACACACAGCTCCACTTTAGTGACACAGTCCGTCATCTGAGGGGGACAGACAGAGACCATCAGATCATACTCAATGCAACAGAAAACTAAATCAGATTTTAGACATCTGACTGATGGTTTAATAACACTTGTCAAGCTAAATCCCATGATTATCATTGTTAAATTGCAACATTTTCTTGTTACAGATTGTCAGTTGGGAGTACTTGTTTCTCTGTGTTAAGCATGTGGCAGTTAGTTAAACATTTGTGGCTTTTGCACTCGGACAAAACCAGTAACGGGAAGATGCCAACGTAATAAACTACTCAAGTGATTGCATTAAGCTCTACACCAACAATAAAAACCAATATCTACAGATGCAGACTTTCACTGTAGTCAGTTCACTGCTTCGCCACAGAGATAATACAGTGACAAACAGTAAGAAAGTAGACAGTATCATTTTATTGGAGTCATAAAGTGTTCTGCTAACCGGTTCCTTACTTATCTCATCTTTTACCGTACATACCAACTGTCACATATCTTTTAAACATGCAAAGGAGGCAGCCAGTCCTCCAACAGACACTGAATTCAAGTACTAAACCACAGCTAAAGCCTCGGAGAATCTTCATCAACAACTGTTATATTCGAGGCGGGGCTCTCTGTAGAGGAGAAACCGTCTGAAGAGAATGTGTTCATCCACTGGAAAATACGGTATGTGACCTGAATGTGTCACAGCAGGAAGTGATGAAATACTGAGATGTACGGTTACTTTTACACTTCAAGTCCATTTTGCTAATAAGTATAAAAGTAACTTCATGAATATTTGTCTTTGACTTGTCAAGTGTTTGTACATTGTTATAAATTGTGTTATTTATACTTTTACTCATATTTCTCTGCCACAGTTGACAATATGTATGAACAACAGTGTAGTTTAATTTTAATGTGTGTAAATGTTTTTTTTAACTTGTGTGGTTTGACAAGCACAGCACCATGACTTTCATTTGGGGGGGTAGTCATTCCCTTCCTTTCTTTAGGAAACCTACTTCTGCATTAGTAGCACCTGGTGTATGTGTGTTTCATTCTGTCGGATCCAAGTTACTTTCAGCCTGGTTTTGTTCTGTTTCTCATTTATTTGAATTGATTTTCTTTGGCTTTTTTTGTCCAGACTTCCCCGAGGTTTGTTGAACTACTTTAGGTAGTTTACACTTCTACTCCATTATATTTAAGAGGCACATTTTGCACTTTTACCTCCACTACAATTATTCAGCAGCAATATTCACTTTTCAGATTAAGACTAGTTTATAAATATGATGCATTATGACAGACTAAACTATCTAACAATATATGATGCAGACCAAATTAGAGTCCATTCAACAAAATAGATTCATAATCATTTACACTCCTTTAATTAAACACTGACAGAGGCACATTCTTCAAATGTAGTACTTTTAACTTTTGATACTTAAGATACTTGTCATTTTTGAATGCAGGACTTTTACTTCTAAAGGAGTATTTTGATGTGTAGTAAAGCTGCTTCTATTTAAAGAGCCTGTGACACGAACCCAACAACTGTTGTGCAATGAAATAGTGGGCTACTAGTAATCTCGAACCGTCAGTTTAAAAAAGAAAAAGCGATACCGTTCCGATAAATATCAATAATTTCGAACATCGCGGGAAAATTCCTTCGACTCATTTTGAGGTTTTGGGGGAAGCCGGAAGTGACGTCATTGCGGGAACGCTTCACTGTGCGGCGAGAGAGCCAAACACGGACAAAGTGTGTTGTCATGCGTAGAAATGGTGAATTACTGAGTTTAGGCACGTTAATAACGTTTTAATGAAGTTGACTACAGTATATTCATATTTGTCAGTGCTTTCATGTCAATTCGGCGAACATAAACATAAATGATCGTGGTGAAGATGATGATTAAATTAGGATTAAAAATCGGTAGTGAGAGCTGCTGAATTTCCTCCCGTCGGATGTGATATAAAAACAAATCGATTATTTTTGTAAACTCAAGTGGATGAAATTTATTAGTGCTTTCATGTCAATTCGGCGAACATATGATACATTAAATGATCGTGAGGATGATGATTTAAAAATCTTTTGTTTGAGCCGGTCTGCATTTCCTGATGAGAAAACAAACCTTAGCTTTTTGTAGTTGCAGTCAGACCAACATGGATTAAACGTGTGTTTTTTTTACCACAATGTTGGAGAAATTAATGGATAAAATGCACGGATTATTATTATTATTATTCCCACTCCGATCGGGACACGAGGTCCACCGTTTCCCCGCAGCGAGGCTCCCCCCGTTGACAGTTTACGTGGGCTGGGCTGGGTGCAGTGGCGGACTGGCCATCGGGACGAATCCCGATGGGCCGGTACCGAAGTGGGCCGGTCGGATAAGTCACTAGCACATCCCCCACTCCCCCCGTTGACAATTTACTAGTGGTACCGAAGTGGGCCGGTCGAGAGTCCCGGGCTGATTTTTAGTCCCAGTCCACCACTGGCTACCTGACCGTATGATCGCCCTTATTGACGCACCTAATTCCTAAACTTCTAACAGATACAACATAAACCGATCCTTCAGCCTCATATGAGCTCTCAGACACGTTCAAAATTAAACTGTCATCGCTGTCTGAGCTTGCTGCTGTGTGCGCCATCGTGCGTTTACATGCAGATGCTGGGATCCTGAACTGTGCAGCTGGAGCGCTGTGCCCGCATTGACGTCACCCATAATTTGGCGGGACTTGAAGAATCCCCGAGAAGATCCGAGAAGATCCAGGAAATGGTCAACATTGAAGGGCAGATTAATGGTTATCAAAGTACAAATATCCAAAATCAGTTCAGTAACGGTTTTCAAGGGGACAATATTTACTCAAATTGATGGGTTTGGATGATGGGGGAAAATCGTGTCACAGACTCTTTAAGTACATGCATGGTAACTTTTACATCTATCTGATCATAAACACACCCATCGAAGGAGTCAACTGAACACAGACACACCTTAACCCAAACTACTGCTGGTGTCCTACAAGTTGACACGACTGTTCACTAAACAAATAAGAAAAGCTCTCAGGAGACTGAAATGCAATTGTAATTGTCTTATTCACATATTCAATGATCTGAGCGAGCAGGGCCCTAAAGGCAACATCAGCACTTGAAGGCAACACCCACGTGAGACTGAAAGGAAGTTTGCTGAGGCAGTACAAACAGTCCCCAGCCAAAGCAGAACAGTAAACACACCAGTCATCTTTCTCTGTCTTACAAACACAACACAGTGTCAATATAAACTTTGTAAACCACCTTATCCGCGCTGATATATTTTTTATCTTCTTCAGACCACAAGAACAAACACCAGGGAGGAGGAAAAACTACTCAGAGTCCGTAACAGGAAACGCCAGGTTTTGAATAACAGTAAACAAACCTGGGAAAGCACTAACCTTTACCTGGACACTCCGTTAGACTCCTTTTTAAGATTAACTACAGCTAAAGTTAGTATTTTAACTGTATCTGAAACAAAAATCAGCAGCTCGTCGCCGTTTAGCAGTTTGCTAAAAAGGGAGCGGCACACAGACATACACGCTCTGATTGGCCAAGCAACTACACGTCTACGTTCTAATTGGACAAACAGCTTCACATCCGTGTCCTGATTGGACAACTCCAATGTCATTCACGCCCTCTAAGGTTTATACGTTTTTCCAGTTTACAGCAGCAACAACAAAGACTTCCGAACCAACTCCTTCAAAATAAAAGCGGCACCGCAACAAGTCAAATCAGTTCCTAAACTGTTCATTTCAAGCAAACTCCAGCAACACAAGTATAAACAATATATTTGTTTTATGTCACATGTCAAAAGACCATGGACGTAGGAGAAGCGTAAAAAGAAACCAGAAAAGCAGCTATTTGGCAGCTTGTAGCAAGTTATTTGTTCCTCTTGACAAATAGATTGCCGAAATGCAGAAAGGATTGGTCATTTGCAGTCTATCAGCCATTTATAGCAATGTGGCTTTGTCCTATTTCATGAGCTTCTCAGCAAAATCTTCCTTTTGGAGGTCAAGATTGAACTTCAAAACTCACTGGTAAAAAATGTACTGAGTGTTTCAAATCAAACACTACAATACTAATATGCCATTAACAGATGTAATGTCCCAATACATACCATGTCAAATCAGTATGCCAAAAATACCAGAATGTCAAAGTAGATGATCATCAGGGGGTGTCAAACTCAAATATACAGTGGGCCAAAATTAAAAAATCGGTACTAATCGAGGGCCGGACTGATTCAATGTTTATTGCAAAATGTATTGAAATGAACTTATTGCACATATTAAACCTGGAACTAACAAAGCTTAAATTATTGCCTATAAAAACAGCATTAAACATTAAATAATCAGTCATTTCTTATGGCTCTATCTGCAGCTTTTCCGGAGTCATTTCTTATGATTACATTTTCCCATAGGCCCAACAACAGCTTAGAGAAAACCAAACATGCCCTGTTGTCGCAAGAAAAAAGGTGCAGAAGGAAACACCCATTAAAACTCAGTTTGCTGCTCTGTGATGCTAGTTCAAGCCAGATACTTGGCATCTCGTCTTTGGTACAAGTTCAGCAATGTTTGGGGTCAGGCTCTGAGCTGAGTAAACCCTCAGGATTGAGTGAAGGGCCAGATCTAATACTAATTAGAAATTATCCTGCGGGCCGAAATTAAATCCACCAAGGGCCTGATTTGGCCCCCGGGCCTTGAGTTTGACACATGTGATCAAGAGGGTCAAAGTTAATATTGCAATGTTACATTATGAAGCAGTATGTCCCAATTGTATGAATACTGCATGCAACAGTGCATACTTTGTAAGTGCATGTGCAGCATGTACAAAAGGAAAAGGAAAAACGTGTGCAATTTGGAAAAGTAAATGTGCTTTTATGTTGAAGGGCAGACTCTCAAACCGGAAGTACTGTTGTTAAAGCTAAAAGCACTCTGTCTGAAAATCAGCTTTACTGAGATAAGAGAGAACGCATAAAAGTCTCACAAGTATAATGGGGATCAGAATACACAGCAGAACAAACTCAACACAGCAGGATCCATCCTCCTCATAGAAACAACACAGTTTAATTGTGTTCATCCTTTGCAGTAGAGATACAGTGAAGTCAGAAAGGGCAGCAGCGCGTCACATCGCTAATGAGAGACAGGACAGAAAAGACCAAACATAGAAAAATACAGTTCTCAGAAAACAAAAAGGCATCATCTCAATAACCAGTGTCTTGTAAATGGCAAACACACAAACACGCACACTGACACACACCTGCCACAGCCGTCTTTGACTTCATCCTCTATTGACCCAATTCCCTGGAAAAAAATAGTCATAATCATACAACTTTAATGAAGAGCAGTGACACAGTGTGATCCTGTCAGATGGACTTGGGAGGGAATAAAAGGGAGAACTGGATTCTACTTAATTGTTGTAATTTACCTTGATAAATACAAATAAATTACTCAAAACAATATCAGTAATTCTTTAATAATCCTTAAACAGGAAGTGTTTAGTGACAAAATTACGTTTATTATGCAACTGGACTGAGCTACAGTACATCACAGCACCAGAGCACTAAAGCCATTTAAAACATGTTCATGGATAAATGGCTTTTTAGAATTTGCTGGTAAATAAGCAGAAGAGAATGGCCCTATATGCAAACATCTACACTATACAGATCAGATCACCTTACACTATTCAAACACTATCCTACACATGGCACCCTCTTCTTTGAAAGTCTATATATATCTATTGTAGCGGTAGTCCCTGGAGCCTTGATTACTCTAATTTTATATATTGTAAAATGCCTGAACATTGGCATATTATTTATTTTATGTATGTATAGTAGGCCTATCTAACTGAGCCAATACTGTGAAAGTCATTGTTAACTTAATGTGGCCCTAGTTTACAAATGTTATGGTCTCTCAAGGACAAAGAGATGCTGCTCTCTGCTAAATGCATTGAGTGCCTATTTATTGCTGATTTATAAGTACCTTTCTTACATATTTTACTGTTTGGTTTAATTATTTATATTTATTCAGTTTATATATTTAAAAACTATGCTGACAGCAGTCTTTAATAGATGACCATTTATGATTAACAATTTTGTATCTCAGTTATATTTTTTTGAAAAATGCAAAAAAAGGAAAAGATAAAGCAAATTATTCGACAACATATATCGGCCATTGGCTGGCATGCTCAAATATAATCGGCATCAGCCGCTGAGAAATATTAATCGACCAATACTCTACAGGCCACTGGTTTGTTATTATAGTCTAGTGTATAGTGTTATTATTAGTAATTCTTCATCTTCTAAATGGAGCATCTTTGTATCCGTCACTCACCTGAATGTCTGTCTTCTGTCTTTCTATTGATCAATCAGAGGAGAGGAAAACACACACACACACACACACACACACACACACACAATATCTCAGTGTCAGTACATCTGTCACCCACTCACAGACTCAGTGTTCAGACTTACATCCTTTTCAGAAACTAAATCTGTCATCAGGATTTTTTTCTTTCATGCCAATGCATTTCTCCAATCACTAAGTGCTAAACACAGACACAGTCATCTTTACCAACAACTAGTTTGTCTAGACAGGGTTTCAGTTAACTTTATTAAAGCCTGTTTATCGATTTCTATCTCAAACACACACTTGCATGCACAGCCGGATGGAAATCGTCATCATGGTACCATGGTTAGGAGGTTAACCATTTCCTGAAGGCTCTTCAGCCAAAACTACTCAAACTGATGCTTCCTGCTTTTTAGGTTGAGTACTATGAACCTGCATGACTGCATGTGTGAACTAAACAGAAATGACTGAGGCTATATTGAATTATAAACCTGCAGCATAAATAACATAACAGAAGCAGAAAACGGCTACAGTGATTAATTAGATTTAGATCAAAATAGTTTAAATCTATCATAAAGCACCTATTCACGCAAAAAAAAATACAATTTGTGTATTATTGGGTCACAGGCCGGGTTTAAAAACAGCAGAGCTAGAACTAAAAAGATGTACGTGAGAAAGTTTCACATCCATCTGTCATCCCTCAGCTGAGCTACTGGAGCACCCCATGGTTTGGAACTAATTGATTGTCTTGGGATAATTGATGCTCCCCTTATTTTTCTCATGCCATTAGGAAACAGGAAGTATGCACCGTTTCATATCATTGGTACCACTTATAATGGGTCATATCCAGTTACAGATCATCTTTGGAGCTACTTTCAGAATGACAACAGTTATGTGACAGAATTGATTAAATTCTGTTAGTGAAAGAAAAATCTGATTACCAATGTTATCCAACAGTACACAGCTGACTTTAACATAAGACCAAGTACATGTGCCAAATATGCTTACAGTGTATGCATAGCTGGTAAAGAAACTATACGGCCTGTAAAAACTTGATGGCCACCAATGTAGCAGCACAATTAGTCCCTGTATGTCAAGATGGCAAGAACACAACTGTGGAATTAAGTGTTGTGACTCACGATTGAGCCAGAGCCACTGATGCTCTGCTCAATCCACTCTAGAATGATGTTAGGGGCGAGGTGATGATTTGGTCTAATGTAATAACTGCACAATTAAGTACATAAAGTGTAGTCTTTTTCACATTCAATGTTTTCTTACATGCATTATGTGTCCAGACACAAAGCTTTGATTTAAATTTAACCGAAATCTAATATGACCCCATCTGATTGATTTGGGCACTTTCTTGAGAAAATATAATAATTTAATCTGCAATTTATCACTCCTGGAGTTGATTAAATGTCGAATGACATTAGCTGTTATGTTACCAAAACAAGATTTGCTGCAGGAAAATCTTGAGGTGAATTTGCGAGGAAATACACAAGTGGTTCACAAACAAACTTCTACAATTAACGCAAGGAGTTAAACAGCGTATTAGCAACCCAGCAGCTCTCAGCTATAGCATGCATGCTAAGAGTTATTTTAAGTACCTTATATTTCATTGAAGATGTTGAAGAGAAGATCATCTGTATTCCAATTAAAACCCAACCAGACTTCCAAAGTTTTACAACATTAAGAAATAAGCAATTTAACTCAAATGTAACCATTATTCAGAAAAGTTTCCATCATCAGACAGTGAAGAGCAGAGTCAGAGAGAGCTGATCGCAGGAACGTCCTTTTATTAGCCAAAGCAAAGGAGACCCCACATCATCTATGGTTATACAAGTTTGTTCACACTGACAATAGAGAAACAAAAAGAAGCTTGAAGGTGGAAACATCCAACACATTATCAAACATGTACAACAAAAGCTACCAAACAAACAAAAATCGCTACAGACTTTGTCCGAGTGCAGTCCAAACACAGATGAGCATGTGCTGCAGAAAAGGAGGGAGGGGGCATTGTTCAAACACAGCAACATCAGAAAAGATTCAGCGGCCAAGTCATGATTATTTACAAAATAAAAGTATTTCCATCACACATCCTCCATATAGCAACAGAGCAGTGTTGCAACCTTTTACCATAGCAACGACACTTTAGGTCTGTATAATTCTTACCATAGCAACAGAGCATAAACATTTCACGATGATATCGTAGCTTTTAATCATAATTTTAACAAAGCAATAGAAAATGGGAGAAATAGAGAACCAACACTTCACCTTCCTTGGTGTAAACGCCGTATCATCTACAGCATATTTTATCATGGCACCAGAGCACGTGGAGATTTTAAAAGATATACCCATGGAAACATAATTCATCATAGCAACACACTGTGGTATTTCATCATCAATTTTTCAAAAGCAACAGAGCATGATTAGGCATTAGCATAGCAACAGAGCATGTACATTTGAAACCTCAGCAGCGCGGCATGTTTAAGCGCATACAGCGACAATGTTTGTCAACCTCAATCATGATAAGTATAAGAACAAAACAGGACAACCTTGGACATGATGTGCAAAAGGCTGCACTGGAAACAGGGCAAAAAAGCAGACAAAGTATCTTCAAACATATACATAATCATTTTTCATCAGTCAGTTTGTGCTAGCAGAGTCAGTGAAGGAGCGGCAGAAAAGAACTAATTCTGGATAAAGTCAGGGGTGGGCTTACCTACCATTATCTATACAAAGCTGGAGGGGCTTTAGTAATGACTGACAATCAGCGGCAAGGTCAAAACTGGGCTATTGGTTTAATACCAGAATATGGTATGGTTTATGTTGCACTCATTACACCATGGTGTTAGGGTTACGGTTCAGATGGGAGTCACATGTTTTTTATGAGTCTGCTTTGGGTGGGGCTTTAACCAAGGCTTATCTTGACTTTGCGTGCTCCAATAGGTCGGTCATTGAGGTCCATGACAGCGGCAGAGGCCTCCTCATGGTTTTGAAAGGCAACCATGGCCTCGCCAGTTGGCAGACCTTTCTCACTGAACTGCAGGCAGACTGAGCCTTGTAGCACCTGGTAGCCATAAAAGAAGTCCATGATCTCGTCTACGGTAACAGTGAATGGCATATTCTGAAGCTTTACAATTGTCGGGCCAGGGGCACCTCGTTGACCGTTGGGATTGCTAGATCCTCCAGGGGCCGGCTGGTTACGGTGTCCTTCAGCTCCTGGACTGAACGCCTGTGGCCCACCAGTAGCCCCACCCCCTGGACGTCCTTGATTGTTGTTAGCCCCTACCCCTCTATTCTGACCACCTCCACCTGCTTTTCTGTTGACATTGTCAAAGGGCACTAACCCTCTTAGCCCATCTTGGTTGAAAGAAGCGCCTCCTGCAACTCCGGGTCGAAAGCCTGGTGGCTCCATGATCGAAGCTCCAGGAAGACCAGCAATCAGTGGAGGAGCCATTCCCATATTTACATCTCCCAACCCTGCTGCAAGGGGTGGTAGAGGAGGAGGGCCTGCCAGCCCGTTCCCTGGGGCTGAGAATGGACTCACAAAGGGGGCATTGTTTAGGTTCCCCATGGTGTTTCTGAGAAAGTTAAACTCCTCCCCGCTAATCCCCGCAAATGGGTTTATCTGGGGTTGCTGGGGAGAAGGCTGGGACTGCTGGTGCTGGTTCGGATTTAGATTTTGGTTTGGCTGGGTCTGGTTGCGTTGTCCCCTCTTATTTTGGGGGGGGGGGTTCCTCTCAA